GCCGCCGGTGAGCGGCCCGAGCGGCCCCGCGCCTCCGGTCCCGCCCGGCGGTGGCTTCCTCCCACTTTCTCGCTGTATCTCCATGAACGGGGCTGCTTGTGGAATGTTCCTAAACGTGACCCTGACTCTTCCTCCCCGTCCTGAAATGACTAGTTGTCCTGTTTTCGGCTGGGAGGGAGTTGGTTTTTCTTCCCGATAGCTACACCACGACACCAGTCCACGGCGTGTGCTAAGGCCGCACCGCGAGCTGCGGGCGCAGCCGCGTCCCCTTCTCCCCTCTTCCAGCTGCTCAGAAACTGTTGCTCTGATATTCCCTCTGCACAATTCCCAGTGCAGCTTGGTACAAGAGAACACTTGTATAAAGTTTTTACCTTAGCATCTGACTGGGAAGCCTGAACTACAAATGTTGCCAGAATTACTATTTTTTTTCCTTTTTTTCTGGTCAGTTTGGTTTTTAAACCCAGGGTTTGTGAATGTGTTAACCAGGCTGTTGACGCTTCCAAATGAGATCTTCCTTCTGCAAATGAGATCTGACTTCAAACAACTTCTGTTTGTAAAAACCTTCAGGCTCTCTGCCTGCAAGGCCCTGAATTTCTGTATTCCTAGCGGGAGACCTTACGAACCACCGAAGGGAAGATTTTACTGAGTAGATGACATACAGGAGAAAGATCTTAGAGTTTAGTCGTGGTGTTTTGGGTTTTTTATTTCCCCTGTGTCACAGCAGTTGCACACAAGCAGGTCAGTACTTTTCACAGCTGTAGAAGCAGGTCGGTGTTCTACAAAGGGCTTCTTACAGCGAGAGCTCTAGAGTTGGTGTCTTAAGTTCTGGGTGTTATGCCATCCCCTGCGCCTATCCTTCCCCCTCCACCCCCTAAACCAGGTGGCTGCTTCGTTCCTGCACTGCTGCTGCTGGCCAAGTAAGCTTCGTTTTCCTGCGTGATCATGTAACTGTCCCTTTGCATCCTCCCATTTGATACCAGTTCTGGTATCAAATTTAATCTTGTGATCTTTTCAAAGGTGTGCACCTGCTTTTGTCTCTCTCCTCTTTTACTCCGTTATCAACGTCTGTGTTGTTTCTGTCCTCCCCGCTCTGCCTTTGTTTCCAGTGCGTCTGTTCTTTGCTAGCGTCTTTAAACACGTCTTGGCTTCCTTCCACCCCTATTCTAGCACTGTTCAGGCTGCTTCTAAACCACTCTTTTCATGGTGAATCAAGGGAACTTCAACATGCACTGCTCAAAAAATATCAGTTTCTGTTCTTTCTCCAAACCTCGCTTTCATGCCCACCCCTAATACTGCAGGCCCTGTAAAACAGGGAACAAAAAAATGTATATATATAGACTTGCCCATGCTGTCTAGTAATAGAACTGTAATTTGGCAAACCATTTTAAGAAGAAGTTGGATTTAATGTGATTGGACCTGCTCTACTTTTTTTTTTTTTAAACTTTGTCTTGCTCTTCTATCGATAGACAACAAAGTTTACAAGTGCTTTGGATATACCTCTGGAGTTTGTAGAAAAGAGTGTGAAATTGCGGGGAAAGTTACACCACGTAACTGAGAAAGGCCTGGAAGTTGAACACATTCCCATTAGCATTCCTTTCATTACATCGGTACAGAGAAAATGTAAGTGAAAGGTGAAGAGCAAGGGTAAGAGTGAAACCTCATTGTTCTTAATGTGTCTGTGCAACGAAGGGATGGGGGCAAGCTCGAGAGGAAGGGTTAAGGTACAGTTCCAGCTGTGCCTTTTAGTCTTTCCGTACTTTACAGGTGGGAAACTGGGGAATAAAAGACTGTGAGGAGACCTGTAAAAGGAGCTTGCCAATACTGTATTTGTATTAATCAGCATCGTTATTGTGATACTGGTCTGGCAGCAAAAGCTCACACATGGGCAGTTCATCTGCTTGCTGCTCATTCCCAGCAAAAAGACCCTCTTGGGATTACAGTTTCATTTGGGGATGAAGATCTGGCAGCCACCATTCTCATGGAGGGTTTTTCTGTGACTTCGCAGAAGATGTCTGCCTGTGAGCCACATGCTTGCTTTGCCAACACCTGCAGGCGCTGATGCTTCTTGCCTTCAGATTTGTTGTTTCTGCCCCTTCAGATAAAATAATAGTGACTGATAATGAAAGCAGTTCTTGCTATTTGTATGCAAAATAAAGCAAACTAGCTTAAACTATTTATGCAATCTTGAATTAATTTTTTTTACTGAAGGAGAGATGAGACCAAATTATTATTTGCAAGTAATTAGTGCTTTGGGAAACTAAAATGGATTTTTTCTTTTTTTTTCAAGTCTGTGGGAATAAATTAATTACCAATAGCTGAGGGTCTGTGCAAAGAATGACATTTCCTTTGCTGCCTTCAGTAACCAAGTTCTCTATAATCAGGGCAATCAAAAGGTCTTCTGTTGGTAAGACTTGCTGGAGTGGAACTGGCTCCGAGTGGCATGGCCTGGTTACAGCAAGAGTTGCAACCCAAACAAACGATATGGTTCCAGCTTCTCGGAAGGGAGGACTTGGCACTCGAGTGCCTTGTTTTAGTAAATAAGGTAAATATAGTGACAAAAATTGACTTCTGTCTGCAGTTTTGAGTTCGGCTGTGGTTATACAATTCAGTTATCTCAGTATGTTTAAGGAATGTTATTATTTATCTATCTTGATATGAATTTTAAATGTTTTATTTGTAAATCTGATTTCAAGACCTGTGTTTCTTTGTTGGATAGTGCTAGGCTGTATTGTATAGTTCTGATTATTATGATGTTTAGTCTATCAAATGTTCTCTCACAAATGTCTTGCATTAGTATTAGGTTTTAACAGTCAGCTGGATTCCTCTTAACTTTTAACCCTTTCTGCCAGAGCATAGATTTAGCCAGAAGTAAAGCTTGTATCTCAGAGGGAGTTCACACACCAAAAAAACCCAACCCAAACCACAGAAGCACAAAAAACCTGTTTTAAAGATGAAGTGACAATTATATTTACCATGCTTTTTTATAGGGTCGATTTCTCAGCGTGTGCTTAAACGAAGAGATCTTGCGACAAGGGCTTGGCAGAACAGCACGCATTGAAGGACTACATCATGATTCCCACCTGTACTGGAAAATTCACAAAAGACTGCTTCAAGCAGAGTTAAAGGCCTTGAAGAAAAATAAAGGAATATGGAAAGAAGAAAGCTACTCTGAAAGAATTAGAGATCGTATAAGCAACAATAAATTTGTACAGACACTGAAACAATTTGCGAGCTGGTTAAGAAGCTCCATTGAAAGGTAAAAAGGGAGGCTTGCTTAGAGGAATGCCGGTTGCCTATGGTATGTGCTTTCTGTAATGTAGAAGTTTATGGTAAAAAACAGTGCCATAAGTTGGAGGTTCACTGTCTTGAACAGAAAACCCATAGTTACTTAATAACAATAAATATAAATAATAATATATAAATAATAACTTATAAATATAAATAACACCATATTATAACCCATATGGGATTGAGATTTAGTAGTGGTGTGCAGGCCACAAATTAAAATGTTCTGAAGCCAAACTTTTCCACAATGATGTCCTACAGAAGTTGTCCCATTTTCCACCTGCTAAATCCCTGGACAGCTGTGTTAACTAACCAGTGAAAGTAGTCAACAGTCCCATTTAAGAGGTGCAGAGTGTTAGTTCACAGTGTACGGCCTTAAAAGCTTCCCTGTTACATGTCGTTACTACGTAGTCCACATTGGTTGGAAAACTCCATTTCTGACCTTTACAAAGCTTGTGGTATGTGTTTGCACATGAGCATTTTGTTTGAATTCTATTCTTATACTACTTCTATGTATAATCTGTGTTTTAAGAAAATCTTTCATCTTGAATAATGGGTTGCATTGTTACCGATATAAAAGGTAATTTGTTAGGCTGATCTTAAAAAGCTGATAAGTTCATAGCAACTGAAGTTTCTCGTTTAAAAAAAAAAAAGTCACTTGGTATATCAAAGAATATAGATTACTATGTTAGTAATCCAAATTTTTGAAGACAACATTCATTTGAAGAGAAAAACCTATGCTATTTCTTCTGATGGTTCTATAAATATCTAAAATTAGATGAAAGTAAAGCTTTAACATGAAATTTGAAAAGGTGGACCTTGAAAAGGTGCTAAGAACTTAAAATCTATTTCTTTTATTTTTGAAATGTTAAGTATATGAGTATGTTATTTATTTTGTAAATATTCTCAGAATAAAGATTGAATTTCTTATGTTCATTGTTACATGTCTTGTATACCAAGCACTTGACCTTTGTTTAACCTCCCACAGTCCAAATATTTATTTGAAGTGAAGTGTTTTACAGATTTTCTTTCTTTCTGTGTGATTCCTTGCCAGTGAAATACTAGGGAGGAGAGTGTGGTACAAAAACATCTTAATAGGTGAGCATTGCTTGTCTGACAATTAGTTGCCATGTCATCATTTTCTCTGAATTCGGGGCAAAATTGTAAATCATGAGATCCTAAAAAATAAAAAAAGCAGCTTTTCCTTGTGTGAGAATAGATGTTAGTGCTTCTTTATTACCTTAGTTCCTGGGTTCTCTCAGGGGTGAGGCTGGTTTTTGTAAAGCATGGTGAGCAGCTAGCCGTGAGGTAACTGTAGCACAGATCTTGGTGTTGGAAACCAGTGTGGGTGAGAGGGGAAGCAGCTCTGGGGACAGAGGCAGACCTCGACAGGAGCTGGAGAGCAGGTATCTCTGCCTGCTTAAAAAAAAAAAAAAAGAAAATAAAGTGAGGCATTTGGTTTTCTGCACTAAACAGCGAAGGGCTGGGCCAACCAATGCTGTGGTACTTGGACGTAGAAGTCCAAGGGACTAGATGGTCAGGGATTTGGGATAGGCCGTAGCATCCTCCGAAGTAAAACTCAAAGTTGGCTTTTAACCCCAAACTACAAGTTCAGTCTCAGCAATAATCCACTACCCATGAGTGATTATAGCTGTTCCTGTTCTCACACCTGGTAAGTAGAAAGAGCTTTTCCAAACTGGGCATCATTGTACAGTTATGATGGATTTTTTCCTTGATAATTAAATATAATTCTACCTGTACTTTGCGCTTTTGTTTGTAAATGAGTCCTAGGAGGATTTATCATAAAAATCCACTGTAAAGCTGAGAAAATCCTCAGAAAACTGCATGCTACACTTCTAGCAAGCAGAGATGAGGTGTGGGCAAACATGAAGCAAGTTTATTCCCTCAGTCTTGCCCTTTAGCCCTTTTTACCCTTGATGAAGTTCAGAAAAGCCCTAGAGATTTTTCTAAATTACAGCAAATTGTTCTATCCTTTCTGTTATTGTGGCTTGTGAAGGATTTTCAAAAGGTGGTGATACAGCTGCTTTATCACTCACTTAGCCTCCTCATAGTTTGAACTAAACTTTTGAAGTTTCTTTCCCTGTACTTGTGGCCATGAGGTAGCCTCACAAATAGTTTCACAGGGACCTATGGAGAGGGGTATCTAAAACCTTTGAATTCAGGCCTCTGATCTCTTTTCATGTTTGTTGCACATGACAAGAAGTTTTGGTGATGTGCTCTTACTATAGCTGTTGGTCAGAATACAAACCCAGGGAAGAAGCTTCACATAAGGGATCCGTGCCCGTGTAACGGGCAACACTAGTCTCACAGAGAATAGTAGTGGGATTTGAGATTGCACTGACAACTGATTTCATGAGAGTCAACTCCTCTAATTGTTTGTTAATGCTGTTTTACTTATCAGCCAGGGCTTATCTGTTTTAAAAAAAACAACAAACAAAAACCAACACACCCTCCCCCCTGAAAAGAGCACAACTCAGTTCAAAGCTCTGCTTTCCATCTGTGCAAGGCTTGAGAGGTTGCAGATCTTGTCTCCATGGGAGGCCTGTCTATTGAAAAAACAGTAACCAGAATAGAAACAAATAGCTCTGCAGAACCCAACTGAGGAACTGACGGGGAGGTCAGGGGGAGAAAAAGCACTTTTCTCCATTATATAAAAACACCCCATGCTCGTCGCAGGAGCGCTGTCCCATTCCTCCAGCCATAGCAGCAATGAACACAAGTATTTCCAAGCAGAGGATGCAGTTCTTGTGTGATTAGGAATAAGGGCAGGAATTAGAAACTGTTTAGCTCTTGTGCCTTTGCCCCTGCAACCCTGAATGTGCTGTGAGCATTACAACATCTTAAAAAGATCATAGGGAGTGCAAGGAGATGCCTCCAAATGGGCCCACTAAGGAAAATATCTTCGGTGTCGCACAGGCTTTTTATTGCTGGTGCGGCATGTAAGGCAAATGGTTGTCATAAACAGTACCGGCCTTCCTCAGAGCCCCCCCGAAAGCGGGGGGCACGGTGCGGTTAGCCTCTTTCC